GGACAGGGGACACGGGGTCAGCGGGGGGTGTTGGGGGGCTGTTGTTAGGTGTTACAGGGTGTTTTATGGGTGTTCAGGGTTATTTTCAGGGTGTTGTTAGGGCTTACAGGGTGTTTCAGGGTGTAGTTAGGGATTACAGGGTGTTTGGGGTTAATTTATGGGTGTTCTTAGGGTGTAGTTAGGGGTTACAGGGTGTTTCAGGGTGTAGTTGGGGCTGGTGGGGCTGTAGTTGGGCGAGGTGGGGCTGTAGCTGGGAGAGGTGGGGCTGTAACTGGGAGAGGTCGGGCTGTAACTGGGAGAGGTGGGGCTGTAGCTGGGAGAGGTCGGGCTGTAGCTGGGAGAGGTCGGGCTGTAACTGGGCGAGGTGGGGCTGTAGCTGGGAGAGGTCGGGCTGTAGCTGGGCGAGGTTGGGCTGTAGCTGGGTGATGTGGGGCTGTAGCTGGGCGAGGTGGGGCTGTAGCTGGGGCTCTGCGGGGTGTAGCCCCCCGGTGACCGCGGCTCGTAGGCGGGGGACGTCGGGCTGTAGCTGGGGGACATGGCCCCACCTGCGGACAGGGGACACGGGGTCAGCGGGGGGTGTTGGGGGGCTGTTGTTAGGTGTTACAGGGTGTTTTATGGGTGTTCAGGATTATTTTCAGGGTGTTGTTAGGTGTTACAGGGTGTTTTATGGGTGCTCAGGGGTATTTTCCGGGTGTTGTTAGGGGTTACAGGGTATTTTGGGTTAATTTACGGGTGTTCTTAGGGTGTTGTTAGGTGTTACAGGGTGTTTTATGGGTGTTCAGGGGTATTTTCAGGGTGTAGTTAGGGATTACAGGGTGTTTGGGGTCAATTTATGGGTGTTCTTAGGGTGTTGTTAGGTGTTACAGGGTGTTTTATGGGTGTTCAGGGTTATTTTCAGGGTGTAGTTAGGGGTTACAGGGTGTTTCCGGGTGTTGTTAGGGGTTACAGGGTATTTTGGGTTAATTTACGGGTGTTCTTAGGGTGTTGTTAGGGGTTACAGGGTGAACTATGGGTGTTTAGGGCTGTTTTAGGGGTATTTTTAGGGTGTTACAGGGTGATTTATGGGTGTTTTGGGTTAATTTAGGAATGTTTTAGGGTATTTTAGGGTGTTTCAGGGTGTTGTTAGGGGTTACAGGCTGTTTCAGTGCGCTGTTAAGAGTTACAGGCTCTTTTGTGGGTGTTTAGGGTTATTTTAGGGGTGTTTTTAGGGTGTTTCAGGGGTTACAGGGTGTTTTATGGGTGTTTAGGGGTATTTTGGGGGTGTTTTGGGGTGTTTCAGGGTGTTGTTAGGGGTTACAGGGTGTTTCAGGGTGTAGTTAGGGGTTACAGGGTGTTTCAGGGTGTTGTTAGGGGTTACAGTGTTCCAGGGTGTTGTTGGGGGTTACAGGGTGTTTTACGGGTGTTTAGGGGTATTTTGGGGGTGTTTTGGGGTGTTTCAGGGTGTTGTTAGGGTGTTACAGGGTGTTTCAGGGTGTTTCCGGGTGTTGTTAGGGGTTACAGAGTTTTCCAGGGTGTTGTTGGGGGTTACAGGGTGTTTTACGGGTGTTTAGGGGTATTTTGGGGGTGTTTTGGGGTGTTTCAGGGTGTTGTTAGGGGTTACAGGGTGTTTCAGGGTGTAGTTAGGGGTTACAGGGTGTTTCAGGGTGTTGTTAGGGGTTACAGTGTTCCAGGGTGTTGTTGGGGGTTACAGGGTGTTTTACGGGTGTTTAGGGGTATTTTGGGGGTGTTTTGGGGTGTTTCAGGGTGTTGTTAGGGTTCACAGGGTGTTTCAGGGTGTTACAGGGTTCACAGGGTGTTTTGTGGCTATTTTTGGGTT